ATAGACTCATTGATGATAAGCGCGGAAGTGCAAACTTTCGCAAGCTTTTCCCCTTTATAATCGGAAAATCGTCTTACCCATGTAAAAAAAAAGACAGTCCATAAGAGAAAACTAGACGTGAAAGTGATGCTGGTAGGGAGAGATGGGGGGGGGGGGAGGGGACTCACTTGTTATCTAAAAATATTACGGGAGGCGAGCACTTTCCGGACTCGACCTAAGAAAGTTATAGAAGAGAATCAAGATTACGGGAGGGGCCATTTGTGGGTGTACGGAAAAGGACTGCGAAGGGCTTAATAATCCAGCATCCATGCCGCGGTCATCACAGTGGTCATCCACCTGGAGCTCCTCATCTCTATGCCAGGAAAAAATGTCATTCCCCTTGTCGAGACCGTTTTCTTGTATCATGGCAGAGGGAAATGTGAAAACATCTCTGCTATTCTTCCACATTACACCGAAATTTATCAGAAGTGTTATTTTGAACGAGTTGATAACGTATTATGAGGGCTGTTGTTTTTATCTGAAATGGAGGATAAAATGAAGTTCTCCTCCCTCCCGAACTAAATTGCCCCCAAAACGACAAGAAGACACTAACAAGAGATTTCGTTAACGAAAGCTGTTAGTACGGACAGGTTTCCAACAATATTCGCGCCCCGGGGACGATTCAATTTAGCTAACGTTTCCATAGAACACAAGTTACAGAATTTTCGCAAAAATAAAATGAAACAGCCTCGTCGGACTCGAAAGCAAACAGGCAGAACCACCTGAGAAGGAAAGGCAAAATAAGGAACTAATTTTCTCATGGAGAATGGAAAGGCACCATGCAGAGAAGGGGTCTCCAGCGGAGGTTTAAATAAGATTAAACGCACTCCGAAAAAAATCTACCCTTTCACTAATTAATGGGCGGATCCTCTATGAATCGCTAAAATGTCCAGGCAAGATCTGATTCTGGTTGGACTTTCGATCGGAAATGTTAATGTTTATGATATCCTTCCAACGATTCCGAACGCTTTATAATACTCCATTAACATTATTACCTGGCATCGAATTGCTCTACATTCAGCCTATCCTCACAAAAACGTAAATCACACAATCCTAAAGTCCAAATGTCAGACTTTGCGCTTTCGCTTTAGCGCCGCTGGTCGCGTTGCTTACCAGACCAAATTGAGTAACACTGGCCGCGACCGCAGAACCAGAGCTCGCGAATCGCGGCGAAATTCGCAAAGTCGGGGACATACGGCCTGTGTATGTCGCATAGTTCACATCACATATACAATAAAATTGAAAGAAATTGACATTCTTTGAGCAAACACTATAGGCCTGTTATAGCCTTGCAATTCGGGTGGTAAGGATCAAGGGACGGTAGCAAAGTACCCTTAACTCGCAATCAGAAGTATCGATCGGAGATTCTAAGCAAAGAATAAAGAATGGAGAGTGCGATCCAGCCCAGATCAAGCAAGAGCTTCCTACTTTAGATTTCAGACGACAAAATATCAGGAAACGAATAAATAAGAAAAAAAAAGGTTGCAAAAGTACCTGAAGATTATGGATCGCAGCTGCATTCTTTGATTCCTAACAGGTTGAGCTGGTCAGAGAAGAAAAAAGAGCACGGGATTGAGGAGGCGCAGTCACCACGTCTGACACGTATGACCCTCCAGTAAAAAGTGCTTCGGAGTACTTTTTAGTGAAGGATCAACGTGGCCTCTGCGTCTCCTCAACCCCACAGTATTTTTTTTCTCTGATTAGTTAGGAATTAGGTTTACAAGTTAACTGTCTAACTTCAAGTCAAATTGGTTTTTTTGGTTATGATCTAACTGTAGGTTAATCAAGACTTAATGTGTTGAGAAGCGCTCTGAACCAGTTATCTAAACTGACTTTGGTCTGAGCTAATCTCGACACGTTAAGTGTGAATTAATGAAGGTTTGCTACCGTCCCAGATAAAAGTTACGGTTTGCTACCAGGTCTAAAGCGCTCTCCAACACATTAACTCACTCCGCCTCA